GCTAAAACAATTCCTGAGCAACACTGTTTAACCAGCCCCATACCTCTTTCAGTGCTGACATACCTGTACCTACAAGGAGTCCTCCAACACCACCATTTAAGCTACTGTTTCTGTGGCAGGAATTGTTCCAATCAAATTTCATGCAAGGATGAACCTGAGTAAAAATTGCAGTGAAATCAAATGTAGCTGCCTGGGAAGAAGTCATGGATTTCCTTTGCCTGTGAGGAGGAGGAGGAGTAACACTGAAACAACCACATATACCTTGCAATAATAAAAATATTTCACAGGATTAGCGTCGATAAGGTATGTGAACCCAAGCATGGCTACCACAGAAGTTCCCTTGGTGGGCAAAAAGCAGCAGCTACAACAGGTGAAAAAGAGCAAATACATAGCTAGTGCTGCTGCCACGAAATGATGTCGAAGACAGACAACCTACCATCACCTTGTTAACTCGTGGAAGCAAGAGTTTAGGAAAGGTCAACAGAGATTATGCAAGACTATAGGTTCACTTACGACCCAGATCAAACAAGAAGAAGAGGATTTAGGAGTACACATTATACTAGCAGATATCATGCAAATTTAAGTGACTTTGCTTTTAATTTTGAGTAAGTGTTATTCTGCACAGCTCCCAACCCCCACCCTTTCATTCTAAAGAGGCCAACCAACCATACAAACACGGGGAGCAAAGGAATTACGCTTCTGCACTTATTTTAAAGTGTGTGCACTGGCAGCGCTAAGCAAAACGGACAAAATGAAATGAGAGAAAAAAAAAACCAGCCAAAAGCAGACATGAATATATACTTTGGGGACTACCTTGGGTGTGTTTAACACAGTGGCTGGCAGCATAACTGAACGAAGCCAATGCATTGTGAACAACAGAGCAACACTGAACGTCAGTAAGCTTCACACGAGCATTCAAAGTATATACAGAGACAACGCCTAATGCCAAATAAATACAATGAAGGGAAGAAAGGAAAAAAAGCAGCAACTGAAAAACAGAAGAAAAAAAAAGACAGTAACAGGACATTCATGTTAATCTTGCAGAGAATCCACAGCAATTTTACTGGACACAATTCTTTGAAGTCCAAAACCGCCTGCTTACACACTCTAGCTGGAGTTACAGCTGAGGTAGCAAAGAGCATCCTTGATTAGCTTAGAAGGGGACTCATTCCAGACAAAACTACTGCAACATCTGACAATCACAAGCTTCTCCTGTTTGTGGAAATATTGCTTCTTCTCAGCACAAGCAATTTTCCAAAAATTCCTCAATGACCGGGAAAATGTCCTGTACCTGTGAAGCAGGAAAGGTTTGATTCTTATTTGGCTATTTCCAGTCAAATCACTCCTTCTCTAATAAACATAAAATACCCGAAGAGACATGGGAGAGGTCAGACTGCCCTATGCAAGGCAGACAGAGACACACCGAGCAACCACCTTGTCTATCTCTCTGGGCTCGACATGAATAGCATCCAACAGAACTGAACTGCCTGGGATGTATTTTGGAGTGGTTTTACTGCACAGTGAGTCCACGCAAGCTTCTACCTGAGCAGAACGCTTACAAACACTCCCTCTCCCGTATGCTCACTGCATTCTTTTGGTGTTTTTTTGTGTGTGTGTGTGAGGTTTTTGTGTGTGTGTGCTCACAAATCTGCAGCCAACCTGTCATTTTCACAGTGGTTGTAACGTTTCCTTTTGAGCCTCACGACCTGTTGCACACAACACAAAACTAGCTGGCAAAACCGATCCGTAACATGCTTCCTCCAGTCCTGTGGAGGTGCTGTGGTCACCCTGAACCTACCCAGCTGTTGCATCTTTTTTTACGGATACCTTGGGGAACAAGAGACAGAAAGGCTGGACAGGGTCCCCAACAGTCAAATCACTATGAACTTCACATTGCTCTGTGATCTGGACAGCAAGAAACACCCCCAGGTTGTCAGGTTCTCACGTATGTGACACAAACATTCATCTTCCCCTACTACTAAGAGCAGGGAAACATCAGGATCTGCTAAATCACATATAAATGACAAAACAACCCCAAACAACTAATTTTCTGAAGCAGAAGATCAGAAGAGACTGGGGTTGCATGACCCCTGCCTGATCAACTTTGAGGAATGCATTTCATTATTGTCAAGGTGTCTGCAACACCAAAAATCTGAGCGGCAGGACATGGCTATGGACCTGCCTACCCTGGAAATGAGAAACAACTTTTGTTCCAAATTCCCCAAGACAAGAAGGTTATTCCATGAACAAGAGCAATCCAGATGCCTAAAGAGCTACTTGTATTTATTTCCACATAAGAGAAAAAGAAAAGCAGCTCTCGTTAAGGAGTTGGCTGAACTAGTAGGTACATCTACTCCAAGAAAACAGCTTCTACCTCCAAGGACAGGATTCTCCTGCAATTTCTTCACTGCTCATTTTCATGACCTGCTTTCATGGCGTGATGCTGGTTCACCAAGCCCTAAAGTTGCTCTTGAGCATACTGGTAAGTAAATACAACAACAGCTGGCAATGTTTACTTGCTGTGCCAACTCCCTTTTCCTCAAATGCCTGGGTGAATTATGCTTCTGCAAAGCAATCACCCTCCATCAAGACTGCCAGAGGACCATTCACAGCACGAGTGTGAGAGCAGGAGCAGTGGGGAGACAGAGGAGATGCTAGAAAAGCCCACTATGAAGTACAGCAGGGGAACCGGCACCCCAAAGCACGCTACAGCAACCACCTATGAGGCAGAGAACAGAACGCAGGAAGTGCTCTGTCCAGCTCTTCGCATCTTTGATGATGCAGCCGTGTGCTCGCAATGCACATCACCCAGTGAAAACACAAGTCAATTCTTGAGGAAAGAGCTGCATTCATGTTACTTGTCATCAGCTGTTTGGTGTGAAGCTTCTTCCTACAAAGTGAGCCCTTAATAACACGGCTGTTTGCCCTGTAACCCAACCTTTAGTCGCCCACTTTTATGATACTGTACAACCAGAAATCCCACAGGACAATCCACCGTAGCTGACTCAGTGCTCAAAAACATCAGCACACTTCCCAGAGCTTTGGTGTTCAGTCTTCCATGAACTACAAGCCCAGGTCTGACAGCAGAGGCTGTGCATTACATACAGGCCTACCCATTTTTTAAAAAAATATACACTCTGTGCACAAGACACAGCTGGCCTTTAACAGAGAGCAGACATCGTAAAAACAAAGTTACAAGTACTGTGATTAATTCTACACTTCATTCTCAGCTAAGAATACAGAAAGGAAGTGAGATGAAGAGAAATCTCACCATTCCATTTGCTGTCTGACAAATCACTGCAATTCTTCACTTCTGTGAGGGTCAGAGTGCTGGGTCAAACCATCATCATTCAGCCACCCATTTCCACTAACACTTTCACAACTGGGGAATACAGTGGTCATGTAACTCAAGCTCTTGCTCTTCTGGGCAGCGAGGGTCGGACTTGACGGGATCCAGCTACCAGTGGATCCAACTAATCCAACAGCACGTGTTTTATGATGCCACTTCTGTTTCTAGGTCCCTAGATATCAAACCTCTAAGCCTTAATCCACGGCCGAGTCAAAACGCAAATACCATAGACCGAAGTTCCTCACAGTCACGTCAACTACAACATTTGAGACCTGTTCCAAAGACATGGCTTACAAACTAGCCAATTTATACATACAAACAAGTCCATTGTGCCCAGAAGAGTTTCCTAACGTTCTTTTATTAAAAACAAGAGCCAAAAATTGCCCTGATGCTCTCCATTGTTATAAAGCAGACTCTGAAGTATTAAATGAACTATGCATGAGCAAAGAACTCCAACTGATGCAGAGTTTAAAACTAGGTTTACAATTTCCTATTTTATTGGCATGGATGTATTTCTAAACTTAAAAATCCTTCTGGCAAGTTATCTCAATTTCTTATGACAAAATTTCTCACAACACACAAATATTTACAACATATACATATTTTTTCAGTCTTTTACAACTGGTTCTTAAAAGACAAACAATTTATAGGTTACCACAGAACAAAAGCTGTGACTTAGTTGTTTTAATTTCATAAAACTATCATAAGTTAAAGTGAATAGATTTTCTTTAAATTCCTTGTAGCATTTTACAAGTGCAACAGAAAAATATGAAGAACCAATTTAGGATAGCTGCAGTTCATTGGATAAATGTTGCCCATTGTAATCACATTATTTCACAGCAAATTCTTGAAAAAATAAGCACCAATCATTCTTGCAAAGAACAATTTTATCTAAAAGTATTGAAAAGTGTTAAATACAAGGTGTTTAATTTACATAACAAGCAATAAATACACCATATCCAAACTTTTATTCTGCATACTGTTACCCTTGTACATATAACGTACTAAAAAGTCAGCAAATTGTCAACACCTTTTCGGGTTTTTTTTCTCTTTTTTTAAAGAAATCAATTTGACTTCCAACCAACGGTTTGCTACTATAACAAAGGCCACAAACAGTACGTCTGGGACAGCATACAGTGTTAAAACTGACAAACTCCCAGGAGGAAAAAAAACCATCTAGCAAATAAACTGAAAAGCTGTAGATCGTTGCTGGTGATATTAACATATACTAGAAAACCTTAATATGCTGCTACTATGATTTTTTTAAATTGTTTAGTCAAATATAAGAGCAAACTAATGCTCTTGCTGATCAGAAATAATTATGTAGCCACACCGTAGTCTCATTGTCCTGCATGGAAAGATCTGATGCAATTTCATAACTTAGCTTGAGCCTTTATTTTACAACAGAGCATTACCTCTAACTCAGAATTGCACATAAGAAGGCTATTAAAAAGTACAATAAAAATCTGCACAAATCAGACTTAAGAAGAGTCAGTATGCTGTACACTTTCTACAATATTACGTTGATAGGTGAATAAACAATAAAGAAGTGCTGCCACTAAGTCTTTCCGAAAGTTTTTCAGTTGAGGAATAATCAAATGGAATTTTTGTTGTGGTTTTTTTTTTTTTGTAGTTGGGTTTTGTTTGTTTGTTTGTTTTAAAAAAATGACATCCAGGTCAGTTTAAGACCTATAAGCTTATGCATTGAGCCTTAAAGACTGATCTTCTCTCCTCCTGGAAGAAATATCAATATCTATTGAATCCTTGCCAACAATAAGCCTTAATCTCTTCGCTGGAGGAAGAGGAATAAAGTCATCAAACTCATCATCATAGTCATCTTCCTCTTCATCGTCCTCTTCTGATGAAGATTCATCTGCTGTTTCCTCTTCATAGTGACCATAATCATCTACTTCCATTCTCGACTCCAAAAGAGAGAGAGTTTCACTACAACACATACCATTTTCATGAAGATCCTCAGGGTACGTCCCTCGGTTTTCTTCCTCTCGTTTTAGCTGTATTTTTAATTTTGTTGAACTATTGCCTGATCCTGAGTTAAACCCATTATTTAGCTTTGCTACATATAAATTATTATCTTTTTCATGGTCTTTACTTAATTTGATGCTTATTTTTGAAGAACTCATTCCATCACTTTCTTGGTCATTTGCCTTGCTACTGCTATCATGGCGTCTACGAAGAGTCAGTTTAGGGATCCCAGAGCTATTTTCAAGGATAAGCTGTGCATCATATCTCGTGATTCGTCTTTTCTTTTTACTTTTTGCAGTTCTAAAGCTGTCTTTCGTTTTAAAATTGTCAGATGTTACAACAGAGCAGCCACCGGATCCAGGGGTACAGTCTTTATAGCCAACGGGTGTATCCACCACATTATTCCTCTCTCCGAGTTCTGAATGAGAACTAATCAAATCAGGTACTTCATCTTTCACAGATGTATTGTGCATAGTATCAGTTTCTTCTGTTTTTGCAGATGGTTTCACAAGTTTTCCTTGTCGAGATTTCTTTTTTGATATGCCTGCATCGTTTTTCTGGCACCTAATCTCCCCTTTATGTGATGGTCCATGAGCCACGTCATTTTCACTTATCACATGAGACTGCTGCTCTAAAATGTCCGACTGCGTTCCGGTCAAATTATTCTTATAGCTATTCAACATATTTGGTTCAAGCTTTATGTCAGAGGTCTCCTTCAAATTCATCCTTGTTCTCATTGACCTCCTTGTTATGTATGTGCAGGGTGGTACATCACCATGCTCATGAGCACCTTTCACAGAATTCAGTTTATGTTCTCTTGCTGCATGCCTTGTTAAGCATCCACTAGAGACTGCAACTTTGACTGGTCCCTCCAATTCTTTATCCTTTTTAATTGGCAAGTTTTTATACAAAACTACTTTAGGCTCTTTGAGAACCAAATTTCCCATTTCGAGCTTTCTAGAAGCATTCTTTTGCTCTGGCCGTTTGCACTGATTTCTCAGCTTTATCTTTGAAAGTAAAGGCTTTGCAGGCTTTTTCAGTCTCTTTGGTACCCTGGAATTTATATGAGTTAGTTTAGATGAGGTAGAATTTGACGATGCTGGAATTCTTGACATAGACTGTCTCGTTAATGTTCTATTTTTGCCGTTCTTTTTTACGCCAATTGAAGATTTTCTGTTAGCTGCAAAAGAAAAAAGTGGTTTTGTTATGATACTGCTTTATCCTGAGCTTCCGACTCCCAAATGCTGTAGTTATTTAACTTATTTTAAACACTTTATCAAAATCTGTGGAACAGGCTAGATAACACACAATAAGGAGTGAGACTGCTTAGCTGGCAACTCAGACATGAAAGGAATTGTCAAACAAGTCAAAAGTACACTTAAATTCCAGGTACACTTCCCTCACTGCCCCCAATATACTAAGTTTGGTTTTTACTGAAAAATTTCTTCTACAGATATTAAAAAAAAAAAAACAACAAAAACCAACAAAAAACCACAACACATTATTCACAGTTTTTACTGAGCATTATTCCAGCAGAATCTGAGAATCAGCATGCTCTAGTATTAACTCCAGAATTTTTTCCTACAGGGGGAGGAAAAAAAAACCCTAAAACCTTAACTACTGTAAAGGTTTCAGTTTCAGGTATCCAGTTGTCTGTCACCTACTGTGGCAAGCAAAGTTTTGTCTGCCCAAGCAAAGCTGCAACTCTAAAGCTGTGTAATTAGAGATCATAAGAGGGTTTTGGCAAGCGTTTTTTCTTTTTTTTTTTTTTTTTTTTTTTAAGTATCACAGCAGCAAACAGGAGCCAGATGGAACCATAATATTTTATGTGGCGCCACATCTGTTTGCTAGTTAAGCCAAAGTTTTTTATATTTTGCCTATACTGAGGGTGGTGGGGGTGGGGAAGGGGGGAAAGTAAATAAATGGTACTCACTGCTCCAAGAAAAGAAGTCTCTAAGGAGCATCACAAACAAAAATCCCTTCCAATTTCTTCTGAGATTACTAACTGTGCACTTTCACTTCAGAATAGGTACCTGAACTATCAGTCTTGGATGTAGAGAGGCAATAGCTGCCCAATTTAAAGGATCTCTAAAGGAAATGACTATTTATTGAATAATCTCTACTAAGCGTATTTACTTAAAAACCGTTTTCCTACAGAATGTAGGTAACCCGAACTATAAAAGTTTTCTTTCCTAAACCATACTCCTGCATGTGATAGTTCACCGTCTTTTGAAATACATACATTATTGATACAACTTTAACTGACATCTTTAGAAATATGACACTAATTATTTGCTTTTGATATAAATAAAAGAAAACAAAACCAGAACATACCACCTATTGCTCTTGAAACACTTCAGGAAAATTGTGGATTTGCTATTTAAATCGTCTTCAGATTCCTGAATAAATTACAGTTCTAAAGACCAGCACCTGAGATGCATCTCAACACTAAGAGAGAAATTCCATCACAGTGAAAGTTTTTCATGTTTTAGTGAAACATTTAATCCTGCAGTCCAAGCTCTCGCCCTTACTTACTTGCATTAGCTTTTTCCTGAGTGGTATCTGCATCAGTGTTAGAGCTGACGGACTGGCTGTCTGAATTTTTGCTGCTGTCACCCAGCTTTTTAAGTCTGTTCAGTCGTTTGTCTGTTTCTCTCAGTCCATATTTACTGTTAATCACAGGAGTAGGTGCTGGCAATCCCACTCTTGATTTAAAAGCACCAGTTCCGCGTCTACAGAGAAAAAGAGGACACAACGTATTAATAACTCTTAGTGTAAACTTAGAACTTTTGTCTCACACACAACAGTTTGAATCCCATGTATATTTGGATAAACAATACCAATAACCTCTGAACTTATTACCATTTTGTGGGATGCTTTAATAAGATATCTATATAGTTATCTCACTTTAGTAAGATGTGCAAAAAAACCTTCCATTTCTTGCAAGAAGAAAAATTGTATATGTCTATTTTTGTATTGTTTCATAGTCGAATTACACAGGTGAAAATGAAACATGGTAGTTCAAAACACTAATTTTATTAGCTTAGATAACAACTTAAATTTTTCCTAATCACATCAGGTTAGTAAAAAAATGCCAGCTTTGGTTACAATGCTTGTTACCGCATCAACAAGAGTTGAAAAGTACAGAAAATGGAATAAAATTATCACATAGTTCTGCGTTCCTTCGTAACTGAAATACTCCAGTATGTATTTACCATGAAAATGAAATGGCTGAGCAAACTTAGAACTTCTTTTTCTCTTAAAGTAATCACAGAAAAGGATGAAGATTTAGAATTCCTGTACTTGCACTTTAACCACTACTACTAGGATTCCTCCGATACTCTTTAATAATCCAGTATGCTTTCACTTCACAGAATTACTGAAGACAACTCCAGTTTGGATTCCAGTGTGTTGTACTGGAAGGAAATCTACAAAATTTAACCAAACGTGCACCAAAAAGATCAGATGGGATGTCAACCTCCAAAAAGTTAATTATAATGCAGACACAAAACTTGTTCTCAAATTAACTGGTATTTGTTTGATGTGGAATATTCTTTCTGCATTATTTTGAATTCTGCAAATTACAGGCAGCTTAAGACCCCAGCCTGAACTTAGCACAAGTGACAGCCACTTCAGATCTGAAAGTAACGGTGCTATAAACAACCACAACTGTCTTCTGACATGTTGCCTTTGGTGCTCAGTTGTCTCTGTTAGTCAGCATGAGCAGTAGGCTCAACTAAAAAGAGGACATGCAAATTTTCTTGGTGATGACTCTTGCAGGCTTGAAAAAAAATAAATTGTACGGTGCCAACCTTCCCACAGCTCCCAAACGCAGCCCACAGACCTTAGAAGTCTAGCTTTTTAACACTGCAAGTCAACACCCTCTACAGCATATCCAAAATTTGGTCACCCAAAGATGATTTTTGTTGTGATATACAAAGCGACAGTTGCCTCATCAATGTTGGTAAGAACTCATTTTTCTTTGCTCAACTCCCCTAAATACAGCAATCAAATATGAGAGATATGAAACGCAGCCTTGTGACTGAAAAACAGATTCCTGAAGTCAGAATTACCTAAACATTAGCTTTAAAATATAACATTTTCATGTACTTAAAATATGAAGATGACAATTTAGTGAAAATGTCCAGACACATAAAATCGGTTTTTCCTGAAAGTATGTCTCTATCACATTAAAACCAACAATCAAAGGAACCTGAGCAAAAATAAACACACCACTCCAAGTAACAAGGAAAGAACAATCACAGTGCTCGTTTATTCATAGAATCATAGAACCATAGAATGGTTAGGGTTGGAAGGGACCTCTAAGATCATCTAGTTCCAACCCCTCTGCCATGGGCGGGGAAGCCCTCCACTACACCAAGTTGCTCAAAGCCTCATCCAACCTGGCCTTGAACACTTCCAGGGATGGGGCATCTACAACTTCTCTGGACAACCTGTTCCACTGCCTCACCACCCTCTGAGTGAAAAATTTCTTCCTTATATCTAATTGAAATCTCCCCTCTTTCAGTTTAAAGCCATTACCCTTTGTCGTATCACTACATGCCCTTGTAAAAAGTCCCTCCTCAGCTTTCCTGTAGGACCCCCTTTAGGTACTGGAAAGCTGCTATAAGATCACCCCGGAGCCTTCTTTTCTCCAGGCTGAACAGCCCAACTCTCTCAGCCTGTCTTCATAGCAGAGGTGTTCAATACTAAACAATTCCCAGGACTGGAGTACGTTTTCACTAGCAGCTCTCTAGATAATATCAGAGACTGTACCCTTCACTTGGGCCTATCTACAAACGTCATATGAGCCGGCAGGTCCACACCAGAAGGTTTTCCCTTGAATTGTTACTGACCAAAATAGCTAGTAAAAATGAAGGTAGGATTATTAAACTATTTATATGTAGGTGCACTAAGCTATTTTTCAATATGATTACTATTTTGTCTTTTAGAGGTTTTTTTTTCTCTCTATAGTTAGGTCAAACAGTAACAGAAATGTTATAGGTTCTGTGTCATTCCTCTTGGAACTAGGTGAAGCTCTCACAAACGATGTTGAGTCTCCACGCTCACAGTAGGCAGAAGTTTCAACATGGCAAAAACCAACTATGAAATTCTTTCAACTGGTTTTGTGAAGAAACTAGGTTGGGACAGCACAGGTGAAAAACAAATATAACAACAACTTTGCTGCTACTGTGCAATGGTCAGATATAGGCAAGTTCTGTCTAAACCAGTAGATCTTTTGAATATGCAAACCCCCAAGTTCTAATAACATGGGGTGAAAACTACTTTGACAATTCCCACCAGAAGAGAACTTAAAGTCAACATAGAGAACGCTAATGAAATTCGCTTTTTCTAGTGCAAAGAGAGTTAAAGTGGGGAATCAGTTGCCAATGGTCTCGTAGAAGCTACAACTGTTTTTCCTTCCAATTCTACTTTATCAAGTGGAAATATTTTTAAGAATCTACACTTTTTTGTTATTCTCATTTTGGGCTATCTCCAGAACAGAGAATAAAAACAGAATGCAGGAGGTTCTCAGGAAACATGACCAATTCAGTAACAACATATAACACTGGCTAAAACGAATAGCTAGGAAGTAATTATAATGTGTTGAAAAATCTGTGTACTCATCATCAAGGACTTTCAGTTCCATAAGATGTATCATGAATATGCCCAGTTCCATTTGAAACTTATTTACATTGATGCATACCTTTCACAGGTGTAACATTCGCAGTATTCGTTATTTTCTCCAAAAAACCCATCTCCATAGTAACAAGATATTTCTTCTCCAGGTTCAATATCTCTTAGAGCTTTCACACATGCTGTATCTCTGCCCGTTGATACAAACTGGGGAAGGAGACGACAGAAGGAGGGGGGGAGGTTAATCATTAAAGTTGAACAGTATCTGAATAAGAAAAAAAAGTAAAGCAGTTGGGGAGGAAAAGGTGCAGGGACAAAGGGGAGAAAAAAAAAAAAGCAGGGTGCTTTATTTATATACTTTTAATTTCTTGCTTACCTTACAGTTAGGTCTGCAATCTGAAAAAGGTCCAAAAGATAAAGTCAATTAACTGTTGATAAGACCTGAAACATGAATAGTTGTAGATATCTAAAGTAAGGATTCACTCTGACTTCAATAACTCTAGAATCCCAACTAAATACTGGGAGTTATGTCAGTATTGCACAAAGCTATACATCAAGATACCTATTTTGATATAGTTTGGTTTCTGAGCTCTGTCCTATGCTACCACAAGCGTTCAGTTTCCCTCTTCTTTAAGGTAACAGGATTTCTCTCAAATCCTACCTGCTTTTCCTTCAGCATACAAATGCAACAGAATCAATTACAATTCCGTGCAAAAGGTTAAAGAAGGCATAAGAAGTTCACCTAAAAAATACATTACGGTTGACTTAAGTTCACAAAGGATTCAAGGTAACCCACAATATGCTCCACTAACTTAGCCGCCAGTTCCACAGTCTCTGTGAAGGAATAAGGCATCACTTCCTAGAGCCTTCTGTCAGTTTCCCAGTTCACAGCTGATCAGCTCTGACCTGGGAAAATCCAAACAGGATTTTGTCCTACAGTAATCCAGTATGTCAGATTCAGACACTTCCTCTAAGGTCCCGTGTTGTTCAGCTCACATGTAACAACACTTCTGAGTAGAACTGCTTATGTTCTTTAACATGCTTCCATGCTTATTACTCACCATGATTGATAAATGCAGCAGGACCAAGCCACAGTTGTGCACAGTTTTTCCGTGTGGAATACATGACACTGAAGTCATTTTCCCCATGTCTCAGCAGCATGTTTTCTTCCATTTCTGATAGCTCAGCAATACAGCCGACAAGTAATTCTATTTTATCATTTCGTTTCCTTTAGTGTAAAAAGAGTAGCAGAATTAAGAATACACATGCAAAAAGTACAAAGTAATTTCACCAAAAAAGAGGTCCATAACAGGAAGTGTTTTGTAAACCACTTCTCGACCTCCATAAACCTCATGTTTTAATTCAGTAAGAGACAGAATATTACACTAAATAGACTGTTTAAGACTTATGAAATAAATGTTTTTATGCCACTATATAGAATCAATTACATCCATTCTGACAGACATTACCACCCTTGTTTCTACAATTTCCTGAGACTGCAAGCAAGAGATTGAAAGACTTGATTACTTCAGCTTCTACAGCTGTTAAAACCAAAAGCAAGATTTTTTTCATTTGTGCACACTCTCTCTCCATCAGGACTTAATACATTTTGACTTCCTCCAGCTGCTCTTGTTTGCATTTCCTATACTTCTTCCTTTGGCCAGGAAAACACAGCATAGTGAAGATGCTTAGAACTCCATGGCTTCTTAAAAAAGGCTCAGTATTGACTCAAAAAGGGCCAGAATTCACACAAGATGTTTTCCTCTCTCACAAGTAGTTCTTCAGCAACAAGCTGGTCCTTCAAAAAGGCCACATCAGAGCAGACGAACAAAAAAACCCAACAAAACCAGGATGCCTTCATGTAGAAAGCAATCTGCCATGATAAACATAGCAGGTCAGAGGCAGTGAATACTCAGCCTAGGAAGAACTGCACAATTTCCATTATCTTCCAAGGGCATTGTTTCTACTGGTCTTCAGAGTGGCCAATCCAAATTTCGGCCAGATGACTTTGACACAGATGAATATGGAGTTATTAAATACACATAAAGGACACAAACTAGAAGCCAAGCCTTCTGCCAAGCCTTCTAAGAGCAAAATTCTCCTTTCATAGACAGTGCTGAGAACTCTATCAGTTCTGAGTCTTGATAGTTTTCCAGATATTGACAGGGTTATGAAGCAGCCCTCCTGTCTTGCTCTCTTCTCAGGCCACTCAAGATTTTGAGCATGAAAAGTTAAAGCGCTTTCAACACACCTAAACACAAAACTTCCACCTCAAAGACTCAGTCAAAGGGGAGAATTCAAACGGAAAAAAAACAACCTCCAAAAAATACTGATTATATCATGATTGAGGAACCTCCAGCTACAGTCATGAGAAGCTAGAAACTGACCTCAACCTTCTCAAAGGTTGCTCTCCTACTCGCTGAGGCCATAGCCCAATGCTAACAGCACGCTTACTTGGTATGCCGTGAGCATAGCGTCTAGCCACTCGATCCTAGCCTACACATATCATCATCTCACACGTGCTGTTATGAATATGCACTGCCACCAAGCAAAACAAATACAAATTGTAGGGGGGGGAGAGGGGGAAGGAAGGGGAAAATTTTTTCTAAAATCTGAATTAACCCAGGGATCTGCTAGTGCTGCCACAGACAGGCTTATAATGCAACTCAGACGTGCCAAAACGAGATGGGGAAATACACTGGGGTTCCAACTTTGAGTTTCCAGGAGAGATTTATCTTGCACAATCAAAATATGCAAGTAACACCCCTCAGTTTCACAAAGGTGAAAAACTAATTTCCCCCACAATTATTTGTTGTATAACAAATCCGTCATAATACGTGTGTTGACATGGTTGTGTTTCTCACAGGAGGCCAACAACTCACCATTAGAGGAAAATAATTATCTGACTGAAGACAAGATAAAAAACCCTTGTAAACTGGAAACTGTATGGCTACATCCAAATAGACAAAGGAATGTCTTACAGATGCTGTATTGTGTGTTAAGTACTTAGCAAAAACAGACATCAAATTTAACTTGTAAGTAAAAATACAAAACTTCATATTTCACTGGTTGCAGTTTTAATTCCAAATCATACTTTTTTGATATCTTTTTTAGAATCTTTCAAAATAATTGACAGAAATAGAATGCAACAGTCAACCATATTCCTCACCATTCTTTCGTTGCAACAATTTTGGCTCCATTTTGCTCAGAAGAATACCGATTACAAGGCAGTATCTCAAAGCCACTGTCAGTTGCAAACATTCGTAAATAAATAAATACCTGCAAGGAAAGAAAACAGAACTTTTCTGTTACAAGCAAAACAAAAGCAGTGAGGAACTTCATATATAAATAATGAAAGTCAGTGAAATGCACAAAAAAAACACACCAAAAAATGGATATTGCAATGGGCTATTGTTTGCTGAAATGCATTTCTGATTATAAATTTTAGCTCTACACATTACGTTAATCTTATTTCTTCAGAGTGATTTGCAGGAACCCTCACGTGGAGAACCTGACTGTCCAAAGAGTTTAAAAAAATTAAAGATTCCCTGAATGGTAAAAAAATTGGCCTAACCAGTGAAAATACATAATTTCTTCTTAAAGTCACTGAGTAGTTGCATTCAAGAGTTCTTCTCAGATCTTTAAGAACCATGGAGACCTAACAATCTACAGGATTCGATTTTACTCTTTCCAGTTCTGAAAAAGATATGACTTCCATGACAAATCTAGATACTGAATTCAGGCATTGCTGGATCAATTCCTTTTAGCTAAAGTGTGGTTCTATTACTCAAAAACACTTTGGGAAAGCAGAATTTGCTGCCTACTTTTTTCTACATTACTAGGTTTGATGCACTTAAAAGTAGGCCAAATTGTTTTGATTGTATCTGAAAACAATTCACTCATTCCAGGAGGAGTTGGTGGGTTTTTTAGAGCAAAAAAAAATTCTGTGATTTCCTTGCAACTTTTAGAGCCAATAAAAGCCTTTATGCTATATACAAAATGGATTTGGGGTGTCCTGGAGGAAGAGGAATAATGCTCCCACATAAAGCCCCTACACCCAAAATAACTGAGGTATTTTGAGGCAGAAAAGCTTCTCCCTTTTCCTTTTCTTTGTCACACAATTTGGTTTACAATAGGTGTAAGTAAAAAATAAAAAAACAAACACAAAACAAACAAACAAAAAGGCAGAGGAAGAAGGGGGTGGGGAGAACCCTTCCAAAGCATGAAAGAAGTCCTGAAACTCTTGTCTCCCAGAAGTAGGTCTTCTCTCTTCTGCTTATGATTTAAGCCAATGGCAAAAGAGGCAAATGTGTTTTCCTTTCTACATGTCTATTAAATAAAAGACAATGGTAAGTTAACTCAAAAAAAAAAGGAAGGGGAGGGAAGCTCGCTGGGTTTTAAAAAACAAAGGAAGTTTCTGTTAAAAAGCAATGAAACAAATAACAAAGAGCAGTTGGATTACTTTCCTTTACTACTGCTACATTCCTAAGAAATTTTTACATTTTCTTAGCCTTTCAACCATCTCAAAAAGCACATTAATTACAAATACACCTACATGTTCCTTGAACAACCTTTCCTGCATTTTGTTCTTGTTAAGAAAATAGTGCCGGGCCCAGTCACCTGACGTCAAGGACTTGAAGGCTTTTTCTAAGTGCTCATCTTTCTTAAAACGTTCAATCACCTCTTTTAGTTCTTCTTGCCTTCCTTTAATAGGTCGAAATCTGAAATAAAGAATAAAGCTATTCCAGTCCACTGTTATTCATTCTCGGTTCTTCCTCACAGTTGCTTGCAGTACGGAGTTCTTCTGCTAACCATATAAATAATTAACTCCTAGCATCAAGAAACCCATCGTTACGTACTCAAACCACAGGCCCTTGTTTCCTGAGGTAATGGCAGAGGTAAGGTAAAGCCAAGCGTAACACTTGGAACGTCGAAACTCTCCATTCTGCCAAGAAGCACAATTTACTTATAAAACAAACCTCTGGTAAAATTAACCATCACAGAATAACACTTTACTATTTTCAACATCTATCACCTGGAACAAAGCAGCTAAAGAACTAGTGTAATAAAAGTGTTACTGCCTTTACTTTCCCATTAAGTTCACTCTCATTAAAAGTGCACGTGCATAAATGTCTAGCAAATAAACTGGATGCTGTAAGTTTCCTAGTTAACACTGGTATCAAGGGTTCTATGCACAGTTCTGGCTTTTGTAGTCAGGTTGTGAGGAGGGGCATGGGCGGTGTGTGATCTTAAATTTAAGCCCTCTACAATCTCACATACTACATTAAGTTTTTTAAGTAGGGAGCAAACAATTAGCACAACTGAAAAGACCTGAGTACAAAACCTCGAAACAGAAAAAACGTGCAACTATCTTGAAGAGCGATCTCAAATCAGCTTATACCCACCTCAAAGCCTTATTATAGTGACAAATCCACTATATGTGTTTATGTGGATTGCAAACTTAACACGTGCATTCAGTGAAATCACACCTCTTAATGACTACAAAAGAAGTATCCATAAATAGTAACATACAGTATAGACACTACATCTGTGGAAGATTGAAGTTCCACCAATTAGTGCCATTGTAAGAGCTTTTCTCCAAAATACTGGCTACGAGAAACAGCAAGCTGAAAATCATGGGTAGATAAAATATAAAAATAAGCCCCTGCACATTAGCAGAGAATTCTGCCTTCTATCCAAAGCTTGAGATTTAAGAAAAACTGTCCTTCAACAGGAAAAACCTGGTTACAGGAAAAATCTATCTGACTGCAAGAAGCAAGAGCTCCATTTTTGAGCTGCAAAACCATCAAGAGAAAGCAGAACTTCATTAGAGATTGTGTTGAATCTCTATAAATTGCCTTTGACCGAGCACATATCCATATCTGCTCTGCTTTGGGCAGAGATGGGGTGTGTACACACTTCCAAGTGTATGACACACCCCAGGGGACTCTTCACAAAGATAAAAGTTTTCTAGGGTCATGAAAAACAGTTTTCTGCAGCTCCTTTTACAACTCACATCTTTTGCTTACACAGCATATGACAGAAGTTAAACAAGCTAAGGGCTTTTGATTAAATCCATAGGACTAAGTCCCATTACTTGTTGCTTGAAGTGTCCTACCATGCTGATTTTATTTCCTCTTACTTACCAAACGAAGTCCATATCTGATGACAAAAGTAAACAAGGGGAAATAAATTCTTGAAGTTGGTGGAAGGAAACCTCACCAACTCCCTCACTGAAACCCTGGTTTTTAAATAACAGTATCACTTGGTTTATCCTCGTCTCTGACCACTGAATGTTGCATGTAACTTCTTTTCAGATGACCAAATAAGGTTTGCTTCTTCTACGCAGCTTGTATGAAGGAAACAAAATACCTTAGGTGTTGCACATCCCGATTTTATTTCAGCTTGTAAAATAGTAAGAGCTTAACCAGAAATAACTCATAATGATGAGGATTCAATTTCCTTCATTAGAAGTAAAATGCTGTATATAAAGAAAGATCTCCTATCAGCAGCATCATTCCAGCAGCAGTGCATGTTATCAGTGTTACATGCTACTGCTTTTACACATCTTCCCTGCATTGTCCAGCTGAAAAACTTCCTTGTACTATAAAGACTAAGCAATCTTTAAGATCTTTTTGCATACGGCAAGAATTATCAGCATAAATCTCTTGAGTTTTCAGAGAAGATACAGTAGGTAGTTCTGAGACGACAGTAAATAAATTTCCTTCTGGCTGGGGTAACACCCAAGAAGGCAGCAAGAATCAGTCAAGAAGTAGATGCCCACTTAGAACTGTAGTATGTGCTGTGCCAAGAAGTTTCAAATATTCTTCCATAAAGAACTTGATATGAATCCCATCGCACCCAAAAAGTTAACTACCTAACAAGCTGCTGAGACCTCATCATGGAAGAAAACTCCTTTCAGACTACAGATGACATGATCATTAATTATTTTTGTTCTGTAGCACAAAGTCTCCCTTGACTAAACAGCCAGATACAAGAATATCTCCCAGTTCTCCCAAAACCAGAAAGACTTCTCCCAGATTTGATAGTCATAACTCACAGAGCTTCCTCAGACATTAAGGTAATTTAATATTATATAGCTTGAACCGAACCTGACTAGTTTCAGAATAGGATTTGCTCTCGTTTTCAGTTTCCATCACAAACAGGTTTTCCCAATAAGGGTCCAACTGTACTTAGATCATGAGAAGTACAATGCATCCAATATGCACAAATATTTTGTTTACATCTTTATCTGAAAACATTACAGGAGGAAAAGCCACAGGATTTGCAGTTAAAATTGGTCTTCAGCTATGTCTGTTCTTGCTGAGTTAAATGAATGATTGCTCTCTCTCTTACATTTTATGTTTTATGTTGAAATGGATTGGGTTTTTTTAGCTAAGTGACCTGCAGGAGCAACGATAGGTGGAAAAACCACCACATTGAAAATTGCATTAGCACCCAAGACAGGCAACGTATGTGCTGACGGACATAACCATATTTTTTATCATCAAGAAGCAGCTTGGTCTAGGCTAGCTAAAGAAAGCAGTATCCCTACTCAACCACCAGTGGGGGGAAGACAAAAAAAGAAAAAAAAAAAAAAGAGGAGGGCAGATGCGAAGCCTAAACAGTGGCTCTCAAGACCTACAGAAAAAGAATCAACATCCTACATTTTCTAGCAATCAGAAGCACATCTCATAGCCCCGAAGTGATGTTTATATTTCACGTCTTTCACAACATACCATTCTCAGAGGCTGACTAGATGCCTAGCTGAGTAGCTATAGTAGGTAGCTCAGAACTTGGCCCCAATCCTTAAAGTCACCTGCATACTTCCATGGATCAAATCCAGCAGGTGTTTCTACAGGTTCTTGTCTCAGGCATTCCACACTGCTGGTGGAGTTCCTTTAAATGTCTCGCAGAAACTCATGTAGCATCATTCCTACAAGTACAACAGCTGGTGTATGCCCAAGTCTTGAAAAGGCCAAAGAGAAGGCTGGAAACAGGAACGGGGTGAACAGATGGTAAAAACTCCAAAATATTAAAAGGCCAGATGAATGTCACACTGTATGCCAGGCACTTGAAACAGGAATTGAGCTTTTCAAAGAACCGGACTCTCAGCACCCAAGTGTTCAAAAATTAACAGCAAAGGCCTCCTGCAGCACCTCTATCAAAACATCGTACTGATATTTTTTTACATGGTGACAAGACAGAGATAATGAGAAAAGATAAACAAGAATCCAAACAAGAAGCATCCACAAGTACATAGAAAGATGCCGGAAACCAATATCATGATGTAGAGCATTTCACCTCAAGGGTTCCCAAACCCATGAAACAGAACGACACTTTGCACACTGAACCTGAGTGAGTTGCTCACAGCTCAACAGCACGTCAACCACACTGAGAGCACATAAAGTTAAGAACTAATCCAGAATCTACAATCCAGACTCCTCATGAAAGCTTCGGGACTTTCACAAGTATATATCCATACACACCTTAAATGGTACCTTCTGACTTGAGACACTGAAGAAGCCAATATACCAAGAAAGCCTAGCAGGCAAGTGTTCCTTAAGAATTTGAGGGTCTGCTGATAGACACTTTACTTGTCTCAGGAGTGTCGTGAAATAGCACTCTATTCATTAGTCTTTCCGAGCACTATCTACCAAAACGTCAATCGGTTTTGAGAAGCAACCTTAAATGCTATCATTTAACTTAAATGCTATCATTTTGGTGTTACAGAGCTTCCCTACTTACACATGACATTAAACAAAAATAATCTACATATCTGCTGGAAGAGTATACGTGACGGTTTCTTAGCACCACCATGAAGAAAGCCTGAAAAGACCCCATGGCTGGGTTGGGGGGGGAGAGAGCATGCACACCAAAGAAATTGGCTTTTAAGTGTCAGTAAAATAGGAGAATAGTTCAAAGAAGAGAAAGAGAGATAGAGCACAAGAAAACCAACAAAACAAACCAGACAACCCAGAACTGTTTATCCCAACTTCTGATTTGCTCCTATGAACAGTACCTTTATTAGACTGCATCAAAGAAACTGAATAAGACACTCTAGTGTTTGAATCTGGCACAGGCACAGACTCCTTGAGCCACCCTACAAACAGCTTCATGGGTCAGGTCTCACAGAACGTGGAGCCTGCCACGAAACAGTCAGTTGTTAAAATTCAGCTAAGAATGAAAAAGTCAGCTATCACAGTATCTTTGAAGAAATAATAACAGCCCTTCTTCCTGACAAGCTGCAGAATAGAAACTTTTCACACTTCGCTAGGAAATATTTGGTCTTCCCTAGTCAACAAGATCCAAAAAAGCTATCGCTATAGCAATTTCAAAATCAGAACAAGATGATCTCATCCCAGTTAAGGGCAAATTGAGGTGGTCTCAACAAGGAAGACGTAGGAAAATGGCTTGAGGAAGCAAAGCTCTTTCTCTCTCTCATGTTTCTCTTACCTCGAGAACACTTAAAGAATCTTGAAACTCCAAGGTATAAAGCCAAAGGTCAGTGAGATGCTTGCCTATAAAGGAAGTTAAAGGAGAGTTTCTGGTAAGTTCAGAAGCACAGTACCTTGCTCACTCTTAGTCACTGAGAGCAGTGAGTTTGAACAAAAAGGATAAATTGATCCTGCAAGAGATCCAGTACGGAACTCCACTAGTGCATGATAAAGAGTTATACTTCTAAACCTTTTTCTTAGCTTCTGACTAGGGTACATCAAGAAGAGTGAATTTTATCAAAACAGCATCCCATTAGCCTCTTAACAACAGGCACTTTGCCTGGATGAGACTTTTATTTAAGTGGCTATGGAAAGACAGCAAATTACTACCCATCTAATACCAGAGATTCAGCACAACAGCTAAAACTACAAGGCTGTTAACCATTCAAGACAGCACAAGAAGAGTTGAAAATCATATAATAAATGGAAACAATTTATCTAGTCATTTTGACAACCCTCCCCCCAACCCTGTAGTATGAGTGTCTTAATTAAAAGCTAGTTATACAAAAATCAGCTTGTTCTGTGTTTACTCTCCAGTGTTGTTAACTGGAAAAAAAACCCACATTCTTTAAAGGCCGAAGTTCCTAACGGCATTTTTAATGAAGAAAGTAATTCATATTAATTAAATTTCTTGAACTGAAACTATATACACATCAGTGCGGTCAAAACTCCAATACAGCCTAGAACAGAAGTAGAGAAAATCCTAACCACCACTTAATTTCATTCTCTTTAATATGGTTAGTAAATAAATGCTTTTTTTAAATAAAAATGGGGGACACAAAAAAAAGTCCCAATATTTTCCTTCATTCCTATTCTGACACTCCACACGGTAAATTTAATTCACCAGTTACCCTGACTACTGGATGCAAGCCACTCTCTCTTTTGGAGGTGTAATACTTTTTATTGAAGTTAAAGGTGGAACTAGAAAAAAACCCTGTGTAACAGTAAGGTGGCGGGTGTTGGTTTGGTTGTTAGGGGTGCGGTTTGTTTTTGTGATTTTTTTTTTTTAATCCAAAAACATTCAGCAGCAGAAAAACAGTTAGTTCAATGTAACCAGTGTGTGACTACACACAGTGAAGGAAGACAACTAGAAGCAAGCTAAAGAACTTTCTTCAATTAATTTATCAGCAAAAATAAAAAAAAAAAGAGAAAGCAGATTTTACACAAAAGTCGAACACAACAGTTTCAGAAAGTACACAGACACTGAGGTCTGAGCAATATAAAAGCTTCATTTTGAAACAGGGTGCCACTACCAAAGAGCTGTGTTCCTCTAATCCAGTACCTCCACAGTGCCACAACACTGAAGTTGAACTATACGGCCACGTAACCTTATTTAGCAGAAGCCACACGACTTGTACCTCCACACCCTGTTCAAGATGAATACTGAGCCTTTTAATTATTACATTGAAATGAGCTAACGAGCACCGAAGAGATTCAGCATAGATCCATGAATGCAAGTGGTATGGAACTGCTTTGCCTTTTCTTTCTTTATTGCTCAACGGTGACTCTAAGGGACACTGTCAAGTTTAGGAATGACTGACGGTTTACACCAAGGCCAGCAACTGCTCTTGGTGCAGCATTGAGAAAAAGCAGCTTCCTCTACATCGTCCTCAAAACACTCCATGTTTGCTCTGGAAAACATGGCAATTCCTAAAGCTTGGTCCTTTAATCTCACGTTATCAGACAAAACACCCATACCACACACCAGTTGATAACTTCACTGAAAGCAGCAACATGGCATTAGGAAACAGCCCTAGATTCTCCTAAAACAGACTGCAATGCATTTGACTTCCTAAATCACTTGCAAACGTAGAAAGACACTGCAACTTTTCTCAGCATTCCCTAGCATGACGCTGGAGTTTTAGGGAACCAGGAAACAACAGTGACCGTTAACAGCAGCACTATGATCAGGAACCTAGCTTAAAATTTAAATATCTACGCATCTGTATGCAAGACAGTGAAGAGTGGATTAGCCTTTAAGGTATGCAACTTCAAGATCCAGTGCTCAGGCTAGAGAAAAGCATCTAAAAATAAGAAATGAAAAGATAAGCAAGAATTCACCTGGCTTTTTACAAGTGTCAGTTTTAATCTCTAATATTAGACAATCTTCAACCCAGGAAGCAATAGCTTGCAAAATCAGTTTTGTTTTTACAAAAATGACAGGCATGCAAGACTAAGTAAATCTTACTGCCAGGATAGCCTTTGTTCAAAAAAAAAAAAAGTCTGATATAACAGGATTTGTACAAGAAGCAACGAAACCTCTTAGAACAGTTATACTTTACAAGACTGTACTTCGTAACATATCTGAGAGTTTTTTTATTAACAGCTAACCTGTTCTTTTGTTGAGATAAGAGCTACCGGTTTGATGAAAGAGTGACCAAAGGGCCTGTGTAAAGAGGGACAGAAGCTCTGAAAACAACCTGCTTTCTCTTGGAAATCCAAGAGGATGGAAAGAAGTTACTTTTGGGTAAAGCCACTGAACACATTTCCAGAGCCAAAGTTTATGCTGTTTATCCAATCCGTGGTGACAAGATACTTCCAACGAACACTGGACAAACGCATTGGGGGATCTAGTTGTAATCTTTTGAGAACTAATCTTCAGCTCTTTCAGACATTACTGACTTGACAGCTTACGGAGCTAATAGTCCAATTCCCAAGACGGAGCATATTCAGGAATTGCAGGACTTTTTTTTTTCTAGGGGCCATAAAAATAAAGAAAAATAACAATCATGTTCTTGTCACCACTGTACTATAAGATCACTAATTCAGTATAAAGAAAACAAAGATGTTCCAACAAAAATACAGATGTTTTACTAGATTTTTATGAAGTCTTTTTTTTTTTTTAATCAATATACTCTGTGCAAAACAAGAGGTCTTTACAAACTCTTCCACTAAAGGAATTAATGAAGTCCAGAGCTTATATAGAAGACATTTACACATACAAAAATACAGACTTGGCTTCCAGAGGTAAAGGTAGAGTACAGCGTCAGTACGTGGTCATCAACTCACGCTGGCCTACTAGTTGCAAAAATACAAACCTCTCACGCTTCCAACCGCAAAGCAGAATGCTGGTACAGTCACTTCCACAGGATGTCTTCAAACAAATCAGAACAAGGGAACAGGAAGCATTTGCTTGCCATCACAAATGACCATTTTATTTCAAGCACACCTCAATACTCGAACTATGTAACTAACATGACTTCACCACACTGAAGCAGCAGATGCCCAAACGTAAGCTGTACATCTTAACTTCTACTACAACCATGTATCTGGGTACTGACATCTGCTATTTCAAAAACATCCTGGCCTTTTCATGTTTACTTTCCCCCCACTTCCCCTCAAAGCCATACAACAGCAAGTCTCAGGAGCTCTAGAAAGACTACAGCTTACTAGATAGAAGGAAGATGATCTACACATCACAGCTACAATAACAAGCAGATGTCTCCACTGTACCAGAAAGACAAACAAGAACTATACTGATGCCTTTATTTTAGTTCATTGCAACAACAAAAACTCTCTCAACAAGACATTAAGAAGGAGGCAAGATGACATGTTTCTGGTAAACTTGTAAGTCTCACCTAAGTATTTCCCTTAGTGCTCCAAGATTATTAACTATTGTCCTTGAAGACTGCCTGTAACTGTTCTCCCAAGTCTGAGAAAGGAAGAAATACAGGATTATAGCCTTTGTGTAACTTTTTTGATTATTGATTTGAATCAAAAAACATTTTGGGTGTTGAAAACATATCAGCAGAAAACAACATTTATGAAAGCAGCTTCTTCAACTATCAAACAATGAATTTCCTTAGCAAAAAGCATAAGAATTAACTACATGTGCATAACCTGTAGATTACCATCCATGCAACAACCAAAAAAGTCTTTTAAGCATATATATTTAGCTCAATTAACTGCTGGAAATACAAAGACACTCCGAACTGAACTGGAAGACTATCTACCTAGACACTGCTTTGGGCACAACGTGCTATTGTAAACAATAGCATGGAGAGAACAGGAAGAAGTCAAGCATTCCTCAAAGATGGATGTTACACTCTCCAGCAGAAAGGAAAAATCTCTTTGGAGTAAATCCTTACAGTCACTAGGACCACACTGCTGCAAGTTCATGTACAACTCACCAGCAACCATTTATGTTATGTGACAACACCAATTAATCTAGCAGTCATTTTTGAAGCAATCAGCCTGTTACACACATACAAAAATCTACTTAACTGATACTCTGATTATGTGACTGTGCTGCACAGGTAAACTGTTTTTCAGAAACAGCCACAGCAACAGCCTGAAGGGTTGAGCAGCCTGCTTCCCATGATGTGCTGCCTGGAAAGCCTAGCTCTCGTTACTGTAGAGTAATAAGCACACGACTCCTGTCCTTAGAAACTTCTCATTTATATATAGATTTTCCATTAAGCAAACACAGCAAATCTTGTATGCAAATGAAAGCTTAACAGGTATCTACAGAATATACTTATAATCACAGGGATGTCTGTAAAACAGGAAGAAGCATGCAACAACTAGACCCTCAGACCACACTGAATTTAGACCAGAAGTATTCAGACAGGTGTGTAACAGTGCAAAAGCACGTGCGATTCTGGTACGCAAGTTTCCAGAGTGCACATTAATTTATCTTCTGTACTTATGTCACGTCTGAGTAGCATCCTTTCAGCCTGGATCTGCAAGAACTTAACTTCAAGTGGCACCAACACTGAAGTGCTCAGGAACTACATCTTTCTTGTGATGTCATAAGAGTAAGGAGAGGAAAAAAGAAAAAAAAAAAAGCACCCAGGCACACGAAAAACAGAGAAGTCCCCAAACACTAACTTCTGCCTTTGAAGTATTTCAAATAACTACTGGTTTAAAACTTATGATAGTTAACTGCTTAAGCTAGCAAACAGTGTCTATTAACAACCTGTTCTACAGCATAAACACACATGAGGGCTGATAGAAAGACCTGTTATAGCACTATGAACGCACACTGCTACAGAGCTCCAAGTTCCAGTCTCACATGCAACACCATTTTAAAGGTGGAAGCTAATAACAAACTGATTTTTTCACATTTTCAAGAACATGCGAGAAATTCCAGAGCTTGCTCTGATTACATCAACTAAGATGATCAAATCTTTTCTAGAAAAATAAAGACAAGTTACCTAGTATTCATTTTGTGTGTCTGAAAACCTAAATAGGGATCAAGAACCAAACTAGTTGCTAGGTCATCGTTTTCACACAGTTCCTTGGCAGACATTCCAGAGGAAGGCACATAACGACTCTGACCCTCAAATCCTGAAGCACCGCTACCTGCAAACAAGAAAGCATAAATTAGATATCATTTAAAGAATGCTACAATGCCCAGCTATGCTTGGGGACAGACGGCCCAGGCTGGAGACAAAAAAAAAAAAAAACAAACCACAACAATTAAGGCAGATGATAAAATATCTGAAGAAGCAGAAGCACAGTTAATTTTTCACTCTTGCTTTTGTTCATTTATGTGGCCGCCAATGGAGAAAGTATTTTAGAATATATTTTATAGGTGTCTTAATTAATTTTGGTTTCCTTTTCTCCTTCCCTCCCCAACTACAAGCATCCTTCCAGACTACACAGTTCAGTCATGCCTGCCTCTAGAACTTCTGACCTATAAACATGATGAAGCTGCAGAAATTTCAAACCTGATTGTCCCAAAATCTCAAAATAAAGGATTTACTCTGAATATGTCTTTAGTCCTCCATCCCAGACCAATAGCGAAAATAAAAATCCATGATCCTTAAAACTGCTTCATAACGACTACTGACATACGTGACTTCATTCAACGTGGGGTTTAATTCTACATATGCAGCCACTAAAAGTTGGGCTAGCAATTCAAATTATGTTATCCACTTCCAATCACACTAGTTCTCACTTAGTGCCAAACACGTATTTTGTACTTACACCAGTTCAAAATTAATTTACCTTCAGTTATTCTCACTTGAGTTTTAAACTGATCGGCAGAGATCTATATTCCTGAAGTGAGTTAATACAGCCAACAAACAGAAACATCATTAATACTTCTGATCATAGCTGCGTGCTGAATGCAGACCTCCTTCATGAATTAAGACAAGACAGAAGCCTGACTTGCAAACTGGTAGAGGAATCACATACAACGAAGCTGCATAAACATGTACATACATCTGCTTGATCTTCTCTCAACTCCATTTTTGCCCGTCTTTGGATTCTCCTTTCCTGCATGCTGCAGTTTGGTCTGATTCTGCGCATGCTCATTAGACGACTTGCTTCCACTTCTCCTGCCATTCACCACCATGTTCTTGGATTCTCCCAGCCACTTCATTCCCACAGACAATCTGACTCAGTTGCATTTAGTCACTTTTCAAAAGGCTCGGAGAAGCGGATGAATAATTTCAGTTCCAATTCCTACTGGAAGCAAGACATAAACATGATTAGAACTTACTGGGAAACTGTTTTGAAGACACAGATTTTTAACAAAAAGAAAATTCCAAAACAAAAACAAGGGGGGGAGAGGGGCGTGTGGAGGAAAGATGGTGATCTACATTTGCATTTGGGAGAAAGAAAAGCAGTTAACTAGCACTCGTACAGGGAACTGTTGCAAAGACAGATATCCACAGGTGAAGTCCTTTCCTACAACTTACAACCATATCTGAAAGGCAAGTCAGAATTCTGAAGCTGATAAATTGCTACAGACAACTCAATTTTAAGAGATGGACTACACACGCATATATACCAATGCATTTATATAGGCATACATACAGATTTATAAATACACACACAGCTATGTGACTCTAAAATTGGAGTATTTTCAAATACATATCCAATTAAAATTACGTTTCTTAATAAAATCTGTAACCTGTTTGGAACTCTACAGCAAAGAATTACATCATACAAGTATCCTCCAAGAACTAAAGACAAACACAGTTAAAAAAAAACACACAAAAAACTCCCACCAGAAAACTGACAACATTTTTCGAATGGGGCAGGTGAAAGACGTTTAATCTTTCTTTAAAAATCAGAGTTCAAAAAACCCTCAATGATGATCTAGAGGACCCAGGCTACTATTTTTACTGATCCATGTGACAAAAAATAAGTCATGACAAATCTGGCTCAATGGGGCAGTAGTAAGTGCAGTCACAAGCAGAGCTGAAATTTTACAGCACATATATGGCCAGGAAAGCCCATGCTGGCTTTTGTCTGCAGCCTCAATGCCTTTTACATAAATAATTACAAAACGCTAGTAATGCTTTTGTACACAGTTGTGTCTCACTCTGTACAACTTGCAGGAAAAAATCCAACACTGATTTACACAATTATTTTACAATTGCATTTATGCATTAGCAATTCATCTCCTTGGTTTTAATCCATCCTCCTCCCAATTGCTTCCTCATAAAGAAATAAATTGTGCCTTTTCTTTTTACTGTTATTAAAAAAAAGACCGTTAATGCTCTGCCAACAGCAGATTAACAGGCCTCATATAACAGGCATTCCAATTGGGCAGAAGAACTTTGCAACAAAGTAATAGATGTTTTGAAATAGTGTCTGTTGTAGAAATTCTATTTTCAATCAGTTAAGAGTAGCAAAACAGGTATTTCTGTTAGACACTTCCGTGATTCAGCTACTTAAAGCTACAGAAATATTTATGGCCAGATGATTAGTAACAAAGTTACTTCGAAAGATTCAGAAGATTGAGGTACTAGAGGAAAAACTACTAGTAGAGACAAGTGACTTAACAGATACATTGGCTAAAACATCTTACTAGAACAATCATCCAGAAATCTAGAGGGTTTGGAACCTTTTACAAATTGTCACATAAGGATAGTAAGATTATGAACAAACTGTAACAGAATCATACTGAGGAAAAGCTGGCTGAACTACTGCCTCATAAGGAAAAAGAGCTGAGACAATTCCAGTGGACAAGGAATTTTCTTGCAGCCAGTGAAGGAAGGAATTGGCTTTGACCTCAAGAGTTTTTGTTTGTTTGTTTTTTAAAAAAATATTAGATGTCTGTTTTACCGGAGCTTAACATAGCTCTCCAACAGAGATGGAACCAAACAGTTTCACTAACAGAATGCAAAAGTCGCTCTGCATACTGACAAAATTTTTAGTAAGTTACCAGATACAGCCTTCGGAAAACAAACCAGATACTTAACTTTTGCCAGGGAAAACCCTATTCATTGTGTTTAGCTATACACAGAACTGGACATTTTTACATAGTACCTCCAAAAAAAAAACAAACCACCCTTTGAAATCTTGCAGCTAAACCTGTACTAGACAACACTAGGCTTTTTTTTTTCCTTCATAGAGCTTGTCTGATAACATACATTTAAAAAGGGGGGAAAAAAAAAACCAAACCAACAAAAAAAAACCCAAACCCCAAGTGGGGCTGGATGTTAAGCATCCCACCTGAACTTCTTTCAGCAGACAGCTCCCCTGTGAAGATCTGCACTATCATGTAAACACTTACCGACAAACTCACTCTTCAGCTTTCCCCTCTGCTTCTTCATTAATTCATTTTACAGGTCTATACACTCTAATTAAACCCTATTCCCATTTTTGTAACACTGGCAATAAAAAGCACACAAACAGTAACTAGGTTAAAGGCTCCCACTAAACCCAGCCTTGGTCTCTGCACCAGGTGGTGTGCTACAGCTGGAGAGCAGCACAGGTAAATGAAGCCTGCCAGGAAGCCCAGTTGCAGATGAATACTGGTATGCAACCGGTTATCTGGAGCAAAACCATTCCGTATGGTAGCATTTCTGACAACTCACAGGTACAGCAGCTATGCTTTCAGCTGGAAAAAGGCGCACTCTGCACAAAGGAGGACAATGATCTTTCATCAGACGGGTCTGGGAGGGTGAGCACTATCTGTGCAAAGACATTTCTGCCTCATAAATACAGCGATGACAAGGAAAGCACAATGGCAAAGGTAGGAAGGAATATGGCCAAGGAAAAATACTCGAACCAGACTAAGCACTGGGAAAAATTCTTTCTTTTGCTGCAAAATATATGGCTATAGATGGCAACAGAAGTCCTCCCCAAGCAAAATCGAAAGTTATTTAGTGAAGCCCAGCAAACATTCTTGTGAAAAATCATTATTTATTTGAGTCCAGAAGCCTAATGAGCCAGAAAACCTTTGTGTCTATCTACTGCTGCCTTTTATTGTCTAATATCAGTCAAATGACAAACTTGAAGACTGCAAGTGTGCTTCTCCAGCCTCTATTCCTTCCCCGATACACAAACACTGCTTCCGAGAGGTGGCATCAAACGCCAGAACCAACAGACAGGATTCCTTTCCCAGTGAACATCACAGCTCCTAATACCAGAAGATCACCTAAACAGAGCAAGAGATGCCCCACTCATCACCACCATGTGATCTTTAATACATCTTCAGATGCGATTTGCTGTCAGCACTTTCTACATCACACTCATGCTGACAAGCCCTGTAAGAACAGAGGGAGAAAAGGAAGAGATGAACACCATCTTCCTATTGAAGAAAAAAATGGAATATACTCACACCTCCACATACTTAGAAATTCCTGCTAAAGGGCTCTGCTATCAAATAATACAACACCATGCATGGATCACTCGTGACTTCACTGCTAAGTTTACCAGCACAATTACAGCTTTCAAGGGACCTTTTTTATTACAGTGTGATCATCCACATTGCTGGTTTAATCCTTTATGACTTATATCACTACTCTTTATAAAAGGCATTGTAATCATAATTCTATTACAGTACTTTTACAGACACATTTCCTCAAATGTCAAAATACAGATCAATCGCACTTGGTGCCTCTTACTGAGAAAGTTAGCATTTCACTGCAAAGGTACTTTCAAAAACGAAAACTCGAGTTTAATTTACCTTGTTCTAAATTTACAAAACCTATCAACACGCTTTCTGAGCATTATTTGCATCTCAGTAAGATTCAGAAGCACCAGTCGACAACTGAAGCACAAACACAATCAATGCTGTCATCGCGTAAGATACTCACAAAGCCAGGTTTATCCGGAAGTGTTTGCCAGACTGATTAAACAGTACCATTCGGATTTGTATCACATACGAAAAGCCTTAGTCCTTTTATATCGGAAAGTGTAGTAAATCCTTATGAACGTGAGTAAAGAAATTCTACGGCTGTTAAAACGGATCTCAAAAGCTGTCTGAGCCTCCCAGGTTTTGGGCTCTCACCTGTGACATCTATCAATTCAGAAAAGTCTTGTGAGGGGGACAAAAAGCTGCACAAAACCGATAAAACCCTAAACTATACAAACACATGCATTAGTAACCATAGGAAATTCAAGTGTCATTTATTTTAGTGTTCCATAACACAGTTTTTGCATATAAATATTTATTACTTAAAGGACAGTGACAGCTTCTGAACAGAAACAGTGGATTTTGTTCATCGCTCTCCAGGACACAAGCAAAGACATTAGGATCAGGACATTTCCCAGCAGGCAGGGTATTCCTCCTCTTTCCCATGGTCTCCAGTACACAGGCAGTCAAAGGATCTCGTTCTAAAATACAGTTTCTTGATTATTTTATTATTTTATTTTTAAGAACCAGTTTTGGGTTTTGTAGTTTGTTTTGTTTGTTGGGTTTGGTTTTTTGGTTTGTTTGTTTGGTTTTTTTTTAATTAACTACAGCTGCAAAAAGTCTTCCTCAACAAGACAGTGGCCTACAGCAAATATAGGACATAAAACCAAAACAAAAGACCCAAGGACCAGAGCCTCAGCTTTTCTGGACAAATCAATAGTATCAAGAGAAAAGATACATTTCATTACTGATAGCTCTAAAAAAAAAAAGCAACAGACCTTTGAATTTAGGAAGCAGAGAAAACTAAGCAACCAGGTTTTCCTATAGGATTACCAGATTACAGACGATTTCACTACAGCCACCTCATCTGGGTAACAAAAAATCCCACCCATTCCTAAAAAGTATTCAAGTTTCTAAGAAAACTTGAAAGACTGAGTAAAATGAAAGCTGAATGAAAACTTGCACAGCTCTAAGGGGTCATTCAAAACAGCCTCAAAACTTATTTTGGTTACTGTTTTTCACAGCTCAGACAAGTATCACTAAGCCAGACAGGAAAGAGAGGCACAGAGCGCTTCTGGCATGCAAAGGGTGTGAAGCCAAGGCACAGTGCCACTTTAAACAGGAACCTAATGTTGCATGTTACACTAGAAATTACTACTGATTATACTAAAACACAGCAAAACCAAGCATGGAACAGACGTTTTTGAAACCACAGAAGGTATTTGGGAGTATACTTTCCCATAATCTCTGCAGTCAAAATTGTATCTTAAAGAAAGGTCAGGTGGTCC